CGATTCAACAACGCATGCCAAAGCGGCGACCCCGACCTTGCAACCCGGCGCTTGCAGTCCCCGCAACGGGGTGTCAGCCCAAACGCTGCGCCGAGGCGCCGAAACAATCCGCACGGCGGCGCGCGACGCCCATCCCCAATCACCAGAGCGCCACCCGAAGCACTGCAGAAAAACACCAGCCTGGCCCGCGCAGCAAAAAGCCAACGCAATCAAATTCGCACGCCGCGTGGACCTCGCCCACAAGCACATGCGAACAAGCTCGCGGAACGGGCCACTTGCGCGTGATAGCATGCGTAATGTGAGAAGTGAGCGGCGCGTACTCTGTGAAGTTAAATGCACTCTAGCATGTACTAGCCAAACCACCGCACGGCAATGCGCGCCTGCACAACGAAGTAAGCAAACAAAAACTGAAAAACAACGCAATTTCGTTTGGAATGGATTTCGGCGCGCTCCCCTTTTCGTCTCCAAAGGAAAGGCCACTATGATCAATGTGCAATCCGCCACAAAAGGAATCATTGAATCCTTTTGTAATCCGCCACATAAAAACAATTGCCATGTAATCCGCTACGGAAGAGATCCTCACTACCAAACGCTGTCGCAAGGAGAAGAATACACATTTGCAACGAATAAAAACGGGGGTGAGGAGGGGGAAGCGAAAACACAAAAACATAGGTCAATCAAATCATAGTTTGACCTAGACCAGGAGGAGGAAGAGGAGGAGGAGGAGGATGAGGAGGCGAAGGGGCAATGGCGTTGTGCGACTGACCCTTGCGGCCCAAACGACCAACCAAGGCGGGAAGAGCGAGGGGACAGGGGGTAAGACCGAGGGAAAGAAACAGTATTTGAAATGGCAAGGGGACAGGGAAGATGCTTGCAGTTTGAAGGGTGGCGATGAGCATTGCTTTGGTTTCGGCGCACGTGTGCGGGTCTGCAAAACACTACCTATGACGCATATCGGTCGTGCGAGAACCGACTGTTTGGGGACCACGCTGGTAAGCATCTGTGTGTGCCAGGTTCACCCATGTGGACCTTCTGGCGAGGATTGTTGTTGGCCGAGGCGTACAAATCGAACGTTAGCTAGCATGAACCCCATACAGCGTGTTTATAGCAGTGTAGAATGTGCAAGTCTAGGTGGGGCAATACATGTGGCGCAATTTACGTGGTGCAACCGGTGGTGTGCAAGATAGGTGTACAATGTGCATATACATGTGTGTGTGTGTGCTGTGCAATATGCGTGGTTCCATGTATGTGGTGCAACCGATATATATACATATGTATATATATATATATATGTATGTATATATATTGTGCAAAAGGTGTGGTGCAGCACAGTTTGGGCACTCTCTGTCGCGCCGTATACGTGGCACACACTAGGTGGTGCCATGTATGTGGTGCGACCGACGTGGTGCAATCGAAGTGGTGCAAGACGCCTTGTTCAGTATATGTGGTGCACTCTATTCGGTGCAATTAATGTTTGCTCGCAGTGAAATGTCAACTCCACTGCTCCGTCGTAGTACCCTGCGTACAAGACGCGCGCGCTTTTACCTGCATCACACAGATGCCCTGTACCTGGAAATCAGCATAGCGACCGTTCGCCTTCCGAACTGTCGCCATGGTAATCTCCAGTTGTCTTTTGGGCACGCGCCGCAGAATCTGCCTCGATCACAAGATCATCGCGCCCTGTTTGGCAGCGGGACCTCCAGCCAGAAGCAAATGGATGCGGGGGGGCGGGGGGAAGAGGAGGAGAAGGACGCCGACGACGACCGCGACGAAGACGAAAAAGAAAAGACAGAGAAAAACGATGAGGGCAAGGACGAGGACGAGAACGAGGAGGAGGACACCAGGGACAAGAACCTACGGAGCCATCTTCTGAGGATCTGGAGGAGGAGGAGGAGGAGGAGGAGGGGCACAGGAGGAGGAGGAGGAGGAGGAGAAGGATCACACGTAGCGGAGGAGGATGAGGGTGAGGAGGGTGAAGAGGGGGAGGAGGAGGCCGATGGGGACGAGGACGAGGGCTAGAATTCGGACGGGGAGGTGTGTTGCTGCTGATGGTGGTGCTCGTGCCGCTGCTGCTGGTGCTGCTGCTGGTGCTGCTGCTAGTGCTGATGGTGCTGGTGCTGCTGCCTGTGGTGGTGCTGCTGCTGGTGCTGCTGGTGCTGCTGATGGTGCTGCTGCTGGTGCTGGTGGTGCTGCTGCTGGTGCTGGTGGTGGTGCTGCTGCTGCCGCTGCTGCTGCTGGTGCTGCTGCTGCTGCTATTAGTGCTGCTGTTCGAGTTGTTGCTGCTTTTGGTGCTGGTGGTGGTGCTGAATAGCAGGGTAGTGGTAGTAATACCTGCACTTGTACTCGTAATTGTCGTAGTCTCTTCACATGTCAATAGCATAGTGGTAGCCGTAGTTGTTCCACACCAACGAGGAGGGAGTTCCACAAACCAGTTCGGGGGGGGGTCCACAAAACAAGGAGGGAGTTCCACGAACCCCAGAGGAGTTCTCCTGGACCCCTTGGTGAGGGAGTTCCACAAACTAAGAAGGGAGTTCCACCAACCCCAGGGGAATTCTACAGGACCCCCCAGTGAGGGAATTCCACAAACCAAGGAGTTGTGAGCTGCACAAACCCGAGGGGAGTTCCACAGAACCCCCCGAGAGTTCCACAAACCCTGGGGGAGGTTGCCCACGTCAGCGAAGGTCAGTGCAGGTCGGCGCAGGTCACAGGGATCAGCGCGGGACAGCAAAGGTCAGCGCAGGTCAGAGCAGGTCAGCGCGGGTCTAACGGGCGCGGACCCGCGCGCCGACTCGTGCGCCGACCCGCACGCCGGCCCGCGCAGACCTGCGCCGACAAGCGCTGACCTGCGCAGGTGACATGTGGCAAGCACTCCGGTCACAATGATTGTCATCGTCGTCTTTATCATCTTCATAACATTCGCCCTCATCGGTCTGGTATACTCATTTGTCCGACGCACTCGACCGCTTCGGCGTCGGTGGGCACGGAAGTGCTGCTGGCATCGTGGAACGTATCACGGCGCACTTCTCCTCCTCTCTGGGTCAACCTGCGGGATCCATCGGGGCCACGACTTACGACTGGACGCGGCTCGAAGCAATGACCGGATGGCGTCTGGCAGGGGGTCGGAGAAGTGACCTCAGGCGAACCTGACCCAGACCGCCAGCGTCGCGAAAGCAACCACGACGGCCAGGTGTTCCTGATGTGGGGCCCCTCGAGGCCCGCCCTGGGCCCGGCAGCCAGGACCAGCGGAAACCTGCCCAGAGCCCCGGAGGCGAGAAGCCGGTGCGGGAGGCGGTCGGGAGAGCGAAGGGCCCGACCGCGTGAGGCTGCGGGTGCCGCGAGACAAGCGAGATGAAGCAGGGGGGGGAAAGAGGGGCGTGCCGACACGGGGCAGCTGCGCCAGGCGGACCCCTGCCGCTGGGGCCTCGGAGGGACTTCCCTTCGGGGCCACGCGCGGCACGTGAGGGGTGAGCCGAATCGAATGCGGGCACGCCATGCGGACCCTGCCGCTGGGGCCTTCGGTGGGGCTCCCCTCGGGGCCACGAAACGTGTGAGGCTTAGGATGAATCGGATGCGGGTACGCCACGCGGACCGTGCCACTGGGGCCCTCGGTGGGGCTCCCTTCGGGGCCACGAAACGTGTGAGGGGTGTGCCGAATCGGGCGCGGGCAGGCCATGCGGACCCTGCAGCTGGGGCCTTCGGTGGGGCTCCCTATCGGGCCACGAAGCGTATGAGGCGTGTGCCGAATCGGGTGCGGGCACACCATGCAGACCCTGCCGCTTGGGCCCTCGGTGGGGCTCCCTTCGGGGCCACGAAGCGCGTGAGAGGTGAGCCGAATCGAATGCGGGTACGCCATGCGGACCCTGCCGCTGGGTGGGGCCTTCGGTGGACATCCCTCCCTTCGGGGCCACGAAACCTGTGAGGGGTGTGCCGAACCAGGTGCGGGTACGCCATGCGGACCCTGCCGCTGGGGCCTTTGGTGGGGCTCCCCTCGGGGCCACGAAATGTGTGAATTTCAGGGTGTGCCGAGTCTGATGCGGGCACGCCACGCAGACCCTGCGGCTGGAGCCTTCGGTGGAGCTCCCTGCGGGGCCACGCAACGTGTGAGGGGTGTGCCGAGTCGGATGCGGGCTGGCCATGCGGACCCTGCGGCTGGGGCCTTCGGTGGAGCTCCCTGCGGGGCCACGCAACGTGTGAGGGGCGTGCCGAATCCGGCGCGGGCTGGCCATGCGGACCCTGCCGCTGGGGCCTCCGGTGGGGCAAAAGGCCCTGGCCCGGCGCACGCTCGACCACGGCTGGGTCCTGCCACAGCGGCCTGCCCACCGCCAGGAACAGAGCACCCCTCGCCTGCGCCACCGCCCCGAAGAGCTGCGCCCCGAGGCCTCGAGGCGCGCGGCGGGAGCACGGGCCCCGGGCCGCGCAAGCCCGCGGCCCCGCGAGGGAGGCCCCGCGAGGGAGGCCCCCGAGCGGGGAGAGGCAGAGGCACCGATGCCGCTGCTCCGAGCACTCCGAGGATGCGCTCGGACCAGGACTTCCGGGCGAGTCCAGCCAGGGCTGCCGTGGCGGTATCCCGTCCTCGGCTGGCCGAGAGAAGCCCCCGAGAGCCCCCCTCCCCCACCGCACGAGAGGGCCCCAGGGAGGCATCCCCGAGAGGCCTCTGGCCCGCGAACCCCTGGCGCGGCGGCAGAACCTGGGCCGAAGAGGCCACCAGACATCATGAGCATGCTGTGGAGGCCTCCCAGGTGGGGTCCGAGTGGATGGGGCCAGAGGATCGCGCCGCACAGCCGATGCATCGACGACGCATCGACAATGCATCGGCGATGCATCGGCGATGCATCGGCGACGTCGGCGCGGCATCGGCGACGCCGGCGTGGTGAAAATCGGGCTCCATGTTGAGCCGCATCGACGATGCATCGGCTGTGCGGCGCGAGCCTCCGATCCCATCTGCTCGGACCCAACCCGGGAGGCCTATAGATGATGCCCGCCCCGCCCGGGGGGCCCTCCTGCCCGGGCGCTGCCGCTTGCGTCGCGGGTGCCGCGAGGGCGGCCTGCTCCAGGCGCTCCACGCGCCTCTGCAGCTGCCTGTGCTGCGTGTCGAAGTCCTGCGGCGCCGCACTCACCGCGTCAGGCGGGGTCGCCGTCGTCGGCGGCGGTGTCGACGGCGGTCGTCCCTCCTGCTCGTCCTCCCTCTCCCTGGTTCCTCCTCGTCCTCCTCTGCCTCTGTTCTCCTCCTCCTACTGCTGCTCCTGGCAGCTCCCCAATTCCCTCCCTGTTCTCACTGTCCCTCCTCCTCCTCCTCCTCCTCCTCGAGGTCCTCCATTCCTTCTCCTTATAAACAATTCCTCCCTGTCGCACCCCGAGACCAGTTGTTAGGGCGGGCCGGGCGTTCCGCCTGAGACTTCCTCACCACTTATGACCCTGAAGCTCTAACACTGACAACATGTTCACAGATGGAGGGCGGGTAGTTTTCAAAATGTGGCCCTCGACTGAACGCCGCGCAGATTCGCTTTCAAAAGTTGCAAGATGTTCACGGATTGAGGGCGGGTTGTTTTCAAAATGTGGATCTCGCCTTAGCGCCGCACACATTCATTTTCAACAGTTGCAAGAGTTTCACGGATTGAGGGAGATTCCTTCCAAAATGTGGCTCTCGCCTTAGCACCGCGCACATTCGTTTTCAAAATTAGCAAGAATTTCGCGGATTGAGGGCGGGTGGTTTTCAAAACGTGGCGCTCGCCTTAGCGCCGCGCCGTTGCACGGATTGAGAGCTGTTCCTTTTGAAAAGGTGGCTCTCGCCTTAGCGCCGCGTACATTACTGATACAACATTGCAAAAGTTTCACGGCTTCTCATGATCGGCGTACCAGAAATGGCGTTTTGGAAGGATTCGCGATTCTGAAGGGCGCAACAATTACGATGATTCGCAGAGCTGATGCCCCAGGAATGCCGTTCTGGCATGCTTCAGGGTCTTCAAACGGTTGTCTTCCAACGAGGCATGCCCCTCTGTGGAAGTGAACTGTTACAGGGGCATATGAACGGGGAGCTTGGGGGAGGGTTTATTCCAACATCGTTGGTGGCTCTTGGGTTCACACTGGTCCTCCTCCTCCTCATCCTCTCCCCTCTTTTCGGGGCAAGGAGGTGAGGAGGACCGAGGGTGACAGAGGGGGCAGAGGAGGACCGAGACAAACTGAAGAGAACCGACAAGTAGGAGGAGGAGGAGGACGAGGACGAAGAAGTAGTAGGATACTAATAATATTAATAAAAAGAAGAAGAAAAATAATAGTGAGGACGCCCGACGATGACCGAGAAGAGCTAAGGATGATTAAGAATGAGGACGCAGAATGACAAGGAGAAGGATGTCGACGGACTGATAAGCAGCCGCCGCCTCCGACACCACCATCGCTGGTCCAAAGCGCTTAGCTTACATCATATGCCATCCTGCGTCCGTCATTCATACCGCCTTGCGGCGGGAACCACCACTCAGACGTGGCAGTTCCCGTAGCTAGACCACCAATTGACCCCGAAGCGGGGAGGAGGCGACGGCGGACGATGGCACTGTCGCAAAGACGTGCTCAAGATGTCTCTCTATCGAGGACGCAGGACACGCAAGGAGAAGCCTCCGACAGCACTCTGCCGTCGAGAGAACGTCAACGCGACGGGCAGGCTCACTGTCCTCGAAGAGGGCCACCCGCAGCACCGCAGGAGGGAGGGGGAGGAGGGAGGGAGGACGATCCACGCTTGGGGCCTCCGGATGCGCAGGGGGACCTCCCGAGGCCCCCTCCCTGCCCGCTGCGGGAGGTCCTCCCCGGGCGTCGGCAGCCTGGTCGCTCCTCGACGCACCACGGCGCCCAATGACTCGGGCACAGTGGTGGACGGGAGCGCCTCCGACTGCGGAGGCGCCTGCGACGTGTGCTGAAACGGCGCTCACGGATGTCGCTTCGCTGTGGCTGCATCGTGGGCGTGACCCGCGGGGCCAGGGGTCACCGAACTTCTCGCGTCGCTCCCTGCAAGCGCGCCGCGCCAATACCTTCGCGCCATCACGCCATCGCGCTGCCCCTCCTGGAGTAGGGCGCCCCTAGACACCCCGCACGAAACATGAAGGCTTTCGCGCGCGATCGTGTTCCCGCTCGTGACGTTGATAACACCTGCGCGTGCAATCCGGCAGGAGACCGACTCACCCCGCTGCGCGATCAACCCAGATTCGGTACTCGGGGGTTGTCGTCGTGGGGCGCAGCCAAGCGCGATGAAGAGGCGTAGGACCAATGCGATCTGCGGCACTCGCGGATCTGCCTCGTGAGGTCTTGTGACGTCGCCCGACCGCCCAAGGCGCGCAAGCAAGTCGAATCCTCAACCGTCCAGGTCGACTTGTGCGGATCCGAGCGCCTGCTGCAACCCTAGACACTCAGCCATAAGAATTGACAAGCTGGGCAACGATGCGAGAACCCTTGGGCGTCCATGTCGAAGCAACTGCGGCGGCGGCAGGCTAAGGCACTAGGCCGAACAGACAAGGGCGCAAGGGCACCCTTGATGTGGCACCGCGTCCTTGTCACTGCGCCTGCACCTCTAGGCTATGATGCAGCCAGCGCCTTTGCGCTGTCACCAAGGCGAGAGCGCCATCCAAACACTGACGGGCCGTGCTCTGCGAGTCCGAGTGCCAGTCAGAAGACCGTCAGAGTGCGGCTAACGCCTGGGCGAGAGCACCAACAGTGACCTCATAATGCGGCCGGCGCCGACACGGTAGTGCCACTACAATGCGTTTAAATATCTGTCTTGCGCGACCGAACGCCAGTCCGACCACGAGAATAGAGCCGACGCCCGGGCGAGAACAGCGGCCCGAACGAAGAACTCGCGCCAGCGCCGATGAGAGTGAGCGCCGCCGCATTGGCGTACGGGGAAGTGGGCCTGGAACCCGAGGCTTCTCCAGGGCCCAGCGTCTGTCCCCGATGGCTTTCTGATCGCCCCTGGCCCGGGAAGAACACAACGCAAAACCTCATGACTCCTGTTCTTCAGGACCCCACTCTCTTCCTGGCGATACCCAGCTCACTTTTTGCGAGCCCGAGCGCCAGGTGAGCTTTGGCGAGAGAGCCATCGCAATCCAAGAGTGGCTAGCGCCGAGCCTACTCGGCCTCTTCCGCCTCCATTACTTTCCTTACAAATAACTCCTCCCTGTCGCACCGTCGAAAGGGCGGGCCGGGCGATTCGCATGAGACTGCCGCACCACTCATGACCCTGAACCTGAACATTTGTGAAACCGTTTCCGCATGAAGGGCGGGTCGTTTTCAAGGTGTGGCTCTCGCCTTAGCGCCGCGCACATTCGTCTTAAAGATTTGCAAGAGCTTCACAGATGGAGGGCGAGTCGTCTTCAAAATGTGGCTCTCGCCTTAGCCCCGCGCGCATCGTCGCAGACATGTCGCAAGAGTTTCACGGTTGGCGAGTGTTCCTTTCCAAAATGTGGCTCTAGCCTCAGCGGCGCGAACATTCGATCCACGAGTTTTTACCGCTTCAAGGATTATCATGGCTTACGTCCCAGAGTTGGCGTTTTGCCACGATATCGGGCTGTCAGGGCGCAACAGTTACCCTGATTCGTGGTGCCAAAGTCAAAGCACAGCAGCGGTGATCGCGGCTCTTGCACAGTTCTGGACCGTCGGACGGTTGTTGTTCAACGGGGCACTTCGGTCAGTGAAAAAGCGATTCCTTGCAGGCGTTGAGGAGGGAGCTTGGAGGGAGGGTGTACTGCAACATCTTCGACGGGCCTTGGGTTTGCACTGGTCCTCCTCCGCCGCCCTGCCCTCTCCGCCTCCACTTCCTCCCTCCCTCTCTCCTGCTCCTCCCCCCCCCCCTTCTGCTCCGCGCAGCTTCAGAGCCGAAACCCACTGCGTAGGAAGCTCCAGCAAAACTCGCCCCGCCCCCAAAACAGGCGCGCTGGCCAGGGTTTAACAACACACTGCCACCTGACAGCCGGCCCGTGCAGGAAGGGCACAGGTGGGGAAGAGAGGGCACGGCGGACGACGGAGGACGACGAGCGGCGCGGAGGGTGGGCCGCGGCGGAGCGCCCCCCGGCCGAAGGGCGCCGATGCGTTACTAAACTTGCCCGCCCCTCGCGCCGCTCCGTGGAGAGCCGAGCCCACCTCCTAGCCCTGGCAGGCGCAGCGGGGCAGGAGGTGCCTCATGGTCAGGGAGACGCGCCGGGTCCGCTCGACCTTGTCGCCGAGCCGCCACCGATCGCCCAGCATGTGGAGGTTGCAGACCCTCTCGGTCACCGTGTCCGTGGCCTGCGCCTCGAAGCCATGGCGGTGGTGCCAGAAGGCGTCCTCGCTGAAGACCAGCAGGCTCCTCGGCTCGAGCAGCACGCTGACCAGCGGGTCGCTGCCGACGTGGCCACCGGGCACGTTGTTCATCTGGTCCCACTTCATGCAGTCCTCGGTGCCCGACTTCGGATGGAAGTCGAAGATGCACGGGGTCCCCAGGCTCAGGATCGCAACCTTCGGGTAATCCGACGAGCCCCCGCCAGCGGGGGGGGGCGAAAGACGTGCGAGACAGTTGGCTGTCCCCCTCCCCCGGGGGCCAAAATCTCGCTTAAGAGGGTGAGGGAGGGGTGGACGAGCTCGTTGGCGGGACGGGGAAGCGCGAGCTCGTCCACACGCACCTCCAGGACCCTCGGAGCCTCCAAGTCCCCCATCCATGGCCTCCGAGATGGCCAATATGCCTTCCTAAGATGGCTTACGAAGAGCTCCAACACGCCAGAAACATCTCGACCCATGATGGTCGCAAGACGGCCCAGGAGGCCCACGACGCCGCAGGAGAACCCCAACATAGGGCCTCACAAAACAAGCGAATCCGAATTAAGAAAACAAACTCTTTACACCGACGCTTGTTTCCAGCCCTGCACTGACACTTGCACAGGTGTATGCGGGAACATCCTGATGTATACATGTTGCGTTGTTTCCCGACGTCATCCCCGACCCTCAGAAGTCCGCCACTGGTAATGTGATGGACCGATGTTCCACCACCGCTACCATAGGTAGGAGAGGTGGAGAGGGAGGAGGAGGAGGAGGAGGAGGAGGAGGAGGAGGAGGAGGAGGACGAGGAGGAGGAGGAGGAGGAGGA